TCGGACGCGGAGAACTTCCAGGGACCAGTAGCTGGGTACCGCACATTTACTTCGTCGTCTTTTACATGATGTGCGTTGTACAGCAGGCCCCGCAGGCCGCACACGGAAACACATGGCTGCAGACAGGCGACGAAGAACAGGAACCGCACCGATGGGACCTATGAACCAATGTCATATAAGCTGGGCACAAAATGGCTTCCGCCGTCCGCGCGCCTCAAGCAGCGATAGACCAGGTTAATTCAGGAAACTTACGCCGCACAACACACTGGATAGCCGCAATCGCGGGCCATCCAGTGCTGGGGTCGCACCGTCGCCAGGCGACGCAATTCCGAAGCAGGCGTGGACTCGACATGATAAGCATGGACTCGCAAGCATGTCATCGGTCACTGACCTGTGTCCAGGTTGCTCGAGGTCACTCACCTGTGTCCAGGTCGCTTGAGTCCTGATAATCGATCAGCTCACGACTGCCGCCAGCGCTCTGTGCTCGAGTCCGAGGGGCGCAGCTGAGCACGGCCAGCAGAGTCCGAACCAGGCTCCGAACACTCAAGGTCCGAACGCCCCGAGTCCGAGCGCTCGGAGTCGGAACGCCCCGAGTCCGAACGCTCGGAGTCCGAACGCAGTACTGCGACAGACGCATGGCGCTCGGTGCACGGGTTTGCATCACTGTTGCCTCCGCGCCGCTGTCGCCTCTGCGTCACTGTCCTCTCTCTCTCTCTCTCTCTCTCTACTGTCGCCTTTGCGTCACTGTCGCCTCTGCGTCACTGTCACTTTCCGCGTCACTGTCCCCCCTCTCTCTCTCTCACACCGTTTTCTTCTGCGTCAATGTCGCTTCCGCGTCACTGTCGCTTCTGCGTCACTGTCGCCTCTGCGTCAATGTCGCTTCCGCGTCACTGCCGCCTCTGCGTCACCGTCTCCCTTGTGTCACTTTCGCCTCCGCGTCGTTAGCATCCTTGTATGACTGTTGACTTTGCATCACTGCTGCCTCTGCGTCACTGTTGCCTCTGCGTTACTGTTGGCTCAGTGTCACTGTTGCGCTTCTGCGTCACTGCGGCCTCTGCGTCACTGGCGGTTCAGTGTAACTGTTGCTTCTGCGTCGCTGTTACCTCTGCCTCACTGATGGCTCAGTGTAACTGTTGCTTCTGCGTCACTGTTGCCTCTGCCTCACTGATGGCTCAGTGTCACTGTTGCGTCTGCGTCAACGTTGCCTCTGCACAAGGTTCGTGCGTCACCCGGCGCACATGGCCCCGCGGCACCCCGGATGCGCCGACTGGTCCGCTGGCCAGACTCCACCGGTGATGCGTGCCACCAGCTGTTCCCGGCGCGTCACCAACCCCGGGCGTCCCCAGCAGCCGTTGACGACGAAGAGGAAGCGGTATGGCGTGCCGCGCAGTGGTAGCAGGTGGAAGCAGCGGCGACGTCAGCGACGATCTGACTCACCAGGCCGGACCGGCGTCCGACACCAGCCGCTGGCGAGGGGGTCTAGAGCCAACAGAGAGGCCTCGGCATCACAGGCGCTCCTTGGCGGTCGTGGTCCGTCGTCCTGAAACGGATCAGAGGTCATTAACCTCGCACTCGATGCGGCACGCACCGCCTCACTTTACCGCGTGCGTCAGGTGTCACGTTCGAGTGGCGCGAGACCTGAGCGGCTGTCGAGATGGGACGGGCGCAGCGAAGATGTGAGTCTGTGCTGCTGTGAGCTGATGGACCCGGGGGAAGACATGCCAGCATCTAGCAGTAACGAACGTTTTAGCTGGGATTTGAAACGACTCACTCCCCTGCGCTGACTCCGGGAGCTACGACACGCATCTCAATACATTGGCACATCTCACGGGATCTCCCCAAAAGCATTTTGCTGAACACAAACAAAAGCGACCGGCACGATGGAAATATTCTGCAGCGATAGCAACAACAGCCAGTGCATCCACCAACATTGCGCCAGCCGAAGCAACGTTAGCAATGCACCACTTGACGCTGGGTCCACGGACATCTCCGGCCTTTCAAAAGATCTGTCGGTGCGAAGACTGGTCTCAAAGACACAGCCTGTTTTGGGGCCACAGAGCACTCCACTGTGTAGCGACTCCAAGAACTCCAAATGCACACGTGCTCGGGCGACCCCAAGAACTCCAGATGCACATGTGCTCGGGCGACATAAATAAAAAGCAAATAAGTAGCATATAGCATACAAGTAATACATAACACACCTATAAAATATTACAACCAACGGTCTTAATCTTAAATATCGATCTTGCCGATCACCGAGATTTGATGGAAAAATGGAGATGTGAGAGCAAGAAATATATTTTGGGGTGGCCGCCTAGCCATCTCTCCGCATAGCCATCACTATGATGGCTACCCAGAAGGTCCCTACAAAAGTTTTTGAACGTTGCTCATGCCCTCAGATCATCAGGTTTGGGACATGCCTCAAACTGAGCGTAATTCATCAGCTGACGGATCTGGAGGTTAAAAATCTTCTGCTTTGGTTTGGCGTCGCCGATTTTGGTAAACTGTTCATCAAGCAGGCAAAGTCTGCACCATCCTTGTCTTTGGTAACAACTGAAACTTTGACAACTTGTTGTTAGTTACCAACGTAGAAGACGCTTGAATCGACCCGTGAATCATTGCGTTGAATATCGAAACATTGCTCACATTGGTCTCTCATGACATGGGCTAGCCACTCGCGCTGAGACGGGCTGGCCACTCGCGGTCAATGTGATGCTGCTATACGTCTCGGCTGTCCCACACGCAGGTGAAACAAGGTCATTTAATGAAACCGCTCGTAACCTCGTCAACCGGAGTATTACCTTCAAATCGCAACATGTCTTGTACCAGAATTTCTCATGTGGGTCAATTTCCTGACCCTTTGGATGAGCTCACGTTTTTATTTTATTCCTAAAGCAAGAGCCGAAGGTATGCTTGACAGGTCGTTTCCAATATGGAGCACCGCTGCCTTCAGTCCTGATTTGTTGGCGTCAATGAAGAGCTTTCATTCACCGATGTCATGCTCCTTTCCTAACGCGCCAAAAAGTACTTAAAATGTCACTGCGGTAGGAAATGGAACCCTCTACGTTAAAAACGCTTTCAAATATTTGTTCCGCTTTCTGGATGCCGTCACATTCGGGTCTAGGTGCAGTAGATTCCACTCACGCAGCCGAAACCAAACAGCTTGGATTGCCTTTTCGACAGATCGAGATCGCGCCCGAGGTCATTTAAATCGCTCTGGATCAGCAACTGTATCTCCTCAACATCAGCTGGTTGGCATTCGTATTCTGCATTTGAGCAAAAGCTGTCTCTTCTGTCTCATGTTCATTTCCGCCGTTACGACCTGAAGGCAGAGTATCTTTGCGTGCTGGTCGGGTTGGCACAGGGGTCCGGACTGATCCACACGTCTGATCGCAGATGATACATCTGGACACGCTATGTTTCTTGTGCTCTTGGACTTGAATCCGGCACGCTTGCCGTGCAGGATAACCAATGTGAGGTGCGGTCCGCGGGCTCCTTCCACGCCTTCGGACTGCGAATGTCACGGAGTACATATGGTATATCGTGCCTGCGAGCCAGCTGCGAGGTGAATTTGGGCATGTCGCACAACATGTGTGAGGCGCCCATCGCTTGTCATGGTCGCCTACTTTTACGGTGAAATGGTGAAACTATGGTGTCTCGCGAGCACCGTTATGTTGCGCCTCTGCTGTTTTGAAGTGAAAGGACCGCATAAATGGTTAACAAGCCCGGATCTTTAACGCAACCACACGGCAACGCCACGCCCGCCTCCACACACACATGCCGCCAAATGTACTGCTATATTGAGCCCTGGTCAGGGGGCCATCATCACAGCTCGAGAATTTGGTCCGGCGGGCGGCTCGTTAACGTTCGGTGGTGACGTCACAAAGTCGCATTGGCTCGCGCGGCGGTGTTGCATGACAACGTCGACCGCGTCGCTCGGAGAACAGTAGTCACGCAGAAATGCTGTGGTTGGTCTTGTCTATTATCGAGCAGGCGTGGCACCAAGTCTGTATTGTTATGTGGCTTCGGTGCGTGCTATTATGTCGCGGGTGGGAGAAATTCGAAGTGGTGCGTGAGCGTTGGGCAAGAGTGACCATCAAAGGCGGTTTTTTGGCAGCTAGATGCCATCCTGTGGAGTGGCCTCTTGCAAGAATGTGAAACGGCGTAATAAAGGCACTTAATTTTTTACATTTCTATAAAACGATTCAACTGTCCTGGAAACATGAGTGCAACGTTGCCCTGGGACTATCAATGTAAATGTGGAGAACGCGGTAATCTGATCCGATCATTTTCAAGATCATGGCTTTGATCATGGCCATCTGGTTAAGGCCATTCTCACACTCAAAGTTAAACCATGCCCTCGACCAAGTGCAGTTCCTTCTATGCATTGGTCACCGTCTGCACGCCGAAGTGAGTATGCGTGTGCTTAAAAGGAAAATTACCTTCTGTTTTGTACAGAAATCTTTGGACCTCGATTCACAGTCCAATGCATGGACAATCTATGCCGCTTTGTGCAGTTTGTAGACTACGATACAAGATTCAAACGAGACTTTCCAACCATAACCTTGTTTACAACGTGGGGCCTGACTGCCACACAAGTGGCACAGCCATCTATGCTGCACGGATGAAGGGCGTGAGTGTCAGGGGTGTAACTAGGCTTTGCGAAGGGGGAGGCAAGTTTGCACGAGCGAGCCCCAGCCCCATTGACGGCACATTTATGCACTGTGAACTGACTAACACACCCCACAACTGCTAATAGATACAGCACCTAGCGCATCAATGAGCTACCAAAATTGGTTTGCACTGGTGCCTTAAATAGTTCTTTCAGCTGCGTGCCGTACGATATGCGAGTCTTGTTACTAATGAACCACTTTTGGACTCTTCGTGTCACTGTCCATGCTAGTGTATTAGATTTCAAACAAAAGCGATTTGGCTGGTCACCAAAGTTCGGGATTACATACAGTAATATCGTTGTGAAAAACTGGTGCTGTACCTAAACAATGCCTCCTACGCCCGTCCTGAACAAAGTGGACGAGGGCCACGAGTTCAACGAGTTGGGCAATGACAAGCTTCGTGGTGGTGCCGGTGAGAAGACGGAAAATAGCCCCCGCCGCGGCGACGAGGCTCTATGGACGAGGTCAACATGGAGCACGGGGCGCTGACCCTCTTTGCCGGCCTCGTGGCGACCAAGTGCAAACACCTCGATCCAAGTACGGGACTGTAGAACCGAGAGGCACCACCCAGCTGTATGCCAGGCAGCTGGATACACGCGATTAGCCAGGGTGGTCTGATGGTTCCGTTGCCGACCTGGACGAGCGTTGTCGAGGCTTTCGAGATTGTTTTCCAGCTAGTGGTGGGCCGAGACATTGTACCGAGTATCGTCGACCGCCTCACAAAGTTCCAGCTGGAGAAGATCTGCGCTGGACAAGCGGATTGTTCCGAAGCCGTTGGCGACGCGTATTCATCTGCGCTTCAGACGGCTCCGGCCCATTGACCTTTTCTTCAAGTAAACGTTTTATATTTATTTGCAGGTTGGCAAGATAGCATGCACATATGATTATTCACTTCAGGAACTATTGGCGAAGAACCCGAGAATATTTAACTTTGGTAAAGTGTGCTGCCATCGCTGCTTGGGATAGCATGCATCAAAAAGTACCCTACTGAACTCTACGCCAGACAACTTGCCTGTTATGTCAGGAAATTGCAGCCCGAGAACCGTGAAATTGCAACACCGTAAAGTAACACAGCATTGCCTTTGCCTCATCGACCCCATATCGCGACGCCTCCACTCGCGCAGCGCTCTTGTGTAGTGAGCGGGGTGTCAGACCCATGCCGCGCATCATGACTGCATACGGTTGAGCTCAGGTCGGCCGTCGATACGGACACGGTGGCGCATAGGTCGGCCGTCGATACTGACTCACTGGCGCATTCTGCTGTCGCGCGTGCGTATGTTGACCCAATCGTCAAACGCTCAGTTTATGTGGTTTGTGTTTGGACGCGTGGGCTAATAGCCTACCAATAATCGGGGAAGACATGGCACACGGGTGTCACCCAGCTGTCGCCTGGTGAATATTACTGGTACCTCACACCCAAACGACTTGTCTCACACATATGTTGGGTCTCGTCGTTCTTTCCTTCCTATTCACAGCAGCCATGGCGAAGCGGCCTCCGCAATACCCAAATCAAGATACCTCCAAGGCATCGTCTGTGGGGACATCGTTAAAGCGACTGCTGGAGGTAACCATGCATACCGCCTCATCTGAGCGAATGGAATCGTCCGCTGTTCCTCCTCCCCTACCGAGAACTATGGACTCACCCGTCTCCCCGCCCTCACCGGGTCAAATCTATGCCGCCTCTCTTCACCACACGCCTCGGTACGCAGCACGATCCCGCCAGCCGTCTTCGATTGGAGAGCACCGGCCTGTCCTGCGCGCTGGCGCCGGAGCCGGGCCACGTCAAACGCGCGGGGCCCGGCCCGGGGACCAGTGTTGCGGCGTCGCCAACGGTGCGATCCGCATCGTGGACGGCGTCGAGGCCAAGGAACACAAGTTCCCGTGGCAGGCGGGCCTGGTCACCACAGGCGACAGCATGATCTGGTGCGGCGGCACCGTCATCAACAGCCGGCGCGTGCCGACGGCAGCGCACTGCACCTGGGGCTAGGCGACCGCCGACATCGCGGTGCCCCTGGCTGAGAGTCGGGCGAGCGCCGCCGACGGCGAGCTGCGCTTCAGCGCGTCACGCATCACTGCGCACCCGAGGTGCAGGAGCTACCGCAGTGGCTATGGCTTCCTCACTGCTGCGGCTTCTCACGCGCCGCTGACCCCGCCGCGCCGGACGGCGCCGGACGGCCCGCCTGCCTGCCTGCTGGCCGCCGGCGCCTTCGCCGACGTCGACGCCGTCGTCAGCGGCCGGGGCGTGACATCGGCGGGCGGCGCGTGGCCCGACGCCCTCCGCGAGGCCGCCGGGCGCACGCTCCTGAACGCCGCGCGCCGTCGGGCGTACCGCGAGCTCACGAACAGCGTGATCTGCGTGGGCGTCGACGGCGGCGGCAAGGACGCTTGCCAGAAAGACAGCGGAGGCCCGCTGGTGACGCCGGTCGGCGGCCGATACACACTGACCGGCTTGGTCTCCTGGGGCCGCGGCTGCGCCCAGCCCGGATACCCGGGCGTCTACGCCCGGGTCACGTCCGCTCTAAGCTGGACGCAGCAGAACAAGGCCGACGCCGACTTCTGCTGAGCGCGCGCTGCCGACGGGCGTGGTGGATGTGAGGCGAGTGTGCATGGGAGGACGGGATTCGGTCTTTGCCGCGATCTACCCTTTCCTTTAGGGTAGAATTTTACCACGAAATCCAAAACTTTACCACTGACGTTGTTTGTCTTTCCCACCTATTTCACGGACTGTGGAAAGGGTGATGTCACGAGTAAGATGGCGCAGGTTTGGTTCAAGTGACTATCTCTCAGTTAAAATACAAGAAATTGGTAAGGGTGTGGACTGTCGTCATGAAATAGCGGTAGAGCGAACGGTGCCCAAACAGCCCGGTGGAAGACATAGCGGAATAAAACGGTTAGTAGACTAGTGAACTAATGATTACATATTGATGCCAAAACACCGCCACCACCACCGTGCGATGACGGCCCGCGTCCTGGAGGAGTGGATAGACCAGGGAAGCACATAAATAACTAACGTATGGCCCACGGATCGGGGATGGTTACGAGGAGCAAGCGCTGACGACCAGGACCTTCGAGCACGTGAGCTACGAATATGCCCCCCCCCCCTTCCCACACCCCCTCTCCTCTGCACGACACCAGTTGTAGTAAATGCTCCCCGCACTTACGCCTAGAATGACTTTATAATGTATCACATATGTCATCCAATCACATCCCACGTAAACATTATAGGACATTACCTCTGCCAAACAAAGGTTGCTGAGAATGGGCACAGCACTATTTCGCGTGCGTTCTTTCTCAAATTTGACGATCTACGCACTCAGCGCGACCCACCGACGCTGGCTCCCACTGAACTAACTCCCTAATTGAACCTGTCACAACGTTTTTTTAAACATGTTCATCGCTGGCGCTACCATTTGGAAGCAAACGCAATGACAAAATGGTTTTCCCACCTATGGTAATTCCTACCAATGGTACTCATTCCTACCCGGGATGTATAATGAACATTATGGCTGTTACAAGAGGCCAGCAATATCACCCGGTGGCATTCGAGACTAGAGCGCCAAAAATTACTCTAAACCTCTCTTCAAAGCAAAAATACAGCCTGGAAGCTTTGAGGTAACCACTTGAACTTATGTATGTGCTTAATTAAAGATACTTAGGTCACGTGAACATTCCTGGCAGGCAGGAGAGGTAATTTTTCTCCTAACCTAACGTTGCCGCCGTTTAAGATTCTGGAAACGGAATAAACAGGCGGTTACGGTAGAAACTGTTCACGAGGCTTCTTCAAAGCGTTACCCGCTTTTGATGTCCCCGCCATAAGCGATTTTCAGGCCAGCACTTCTGTTGGCGTTTACTGGGACTGTCAAAAATGTCGTGGGGGACCGCGACGTCCGAAGTTGCTATCGGGGTTCTCTTCAGTTCCAATGCACGACATAAACGTCGGGTAGGCTGAAATGTTTCATGCGTTATTTTAAGATATTTCTGTTTCCATGCATGCCTGCAGATGATAGAAAACGTGATTTGAGACTGAACATAGCTGCTGGGAACTGGTTCATGCCTATTTGTAAATTATGTCGTTCTCATTTAATTTGGGCGCATGCTTTAGTACGCCAAAATGTTTTGGTTTAATCGTCTTGTCAGGTTTCCTCGAGGTGTCACAAAAGACACGATTAGTCCACCAATACCAGTGTATAACAGATCAAGTTCCGCATTGTTTTGTTGCCTCCAATGCTTTTTAGGAAAACAGAAACTTTATGACCCAGTTCTTTAAGCAACAACGCGGACGCAACACTAGCATTATCTAGCATCGGAGCTGCTGGGCGCGGAATAAATGCCGTGATAAAATGCGTATTGCACTACCTCTCCAAGAAGAGCAAAAGTTCTCATTCAACTAATAGGATCAGATTACGTAGTTTTATCATTTGTTCTGTCGTACAAAGGTAAAACTGCATTTGTTGCGTTTTCGTGCAGAACGAAATTTTATAGAACAGTTTTTCCGTTTTCGTCTCCTGCTACTTCGGTAAGCTTCCGACTTTTATAACACAAATATGAATGAAACGTCTGCTGATGGCCCATTATGTCATGTGGAAGTAAAACACGGCATACACATAGCGTTCTAAAAAAAAAAACAAAGTGGTGTTAGCCAAGTGCGATTTTCCGGCGATACCAAGTTAAAACCCATTAAGTTGACTCGTGTTATAAACGGCGTGTTTGTGCCAAAAATGCAAGTTAATCGTTGCATTAGCGGGGAACATTATTTATGTAGATAACACAGCAGTATTAGCCTTATTCCTCGGCTAAGAAAAACAGGAGAATGGAAGTATAGTTGGGTTGATATTTCGATAACATGCCTTTATCGAAACGATAGGTGAAGTGAATTCAAAATTGCCTGCCGATGATCTGATTCCATTTTTGTTTCCTTTTTTCTTTAAAGCAAGGCACAGTTTTTTTGCAGTACACCAACATTCAGGGAATTAAACAAAGAGCGATTGCCAGTCATCACCACGGAATAGTGTCTATCTAAGAATTAGAATGCACGGACATATGTGTACACGCAAACGAACTTAAGCAAAGCAGCATCACCCATCACGCTTCATTCAAACATGCAATCGAGTTGAAGCAAACGGGTATCACACGTCGCGCATCAATTATGCATGCAAATGATTTTAATTGTACAGGCATCGCACATCACGCGTCAGGCATTATTAACTCGTGTAAACGATTTTAAGCTAGCACACATCACACATAAAGGTACATATCACGTTCGCATAATCGGCCATCATGAGCCCTATGTTTTAAGTCTTTACGCACTATTCGTTTGAGATATCATGAACACCTGCGAACCGCTAAAAAACAAGAAATACCCCTTTCGGTGACCAGTTTTTGGCAAAAGACGCTCAGGCTGAAATCAAGGAAAGTATGGACCCTATGCCCCTTTTAGAGCTTAAAGTCATCTACAGAGCACAGGACCACCCAGACAGGAAAATAAGTGAATGTATTCTTATAAAAATGCGGCGACCAAATCTTAACACACGGGGCTCATCATCGGGTCTTCGATTATGCGAAAGTGATATGTGTCTTTATGTGTGATGTGCGCTAGCTTAAAATCGTTTGCACGGGTAAGTGATGCCTGACGCGTAATGTGCGATGCCTGTACAATTAAAATCGTTTGCATGTATAATTGATGCGCGCCGTATGATGCCTGTTTAATTCAACTGGCTTGCATGTTTGAATGAAGCGTGATGCGTGATGTCTCCCTGCTTAAGTTCGGTTGCATGCACACGTATGTTCGTGTATTCTAATTCTTTGATAGGCACTGTATCGTGATAACTATTGGCAAGCGCTCCTTGTTTAATCCACTGAATGTTGATGTGCCGTAAAAAAAACTGTGGCTTGCTTTAAAAAACCTGAAAAATCGAGTCGGATCATCGGCAGGCAATTTTGAATTCACCCCAGCTATTGTTTCGACAAAGGCATGTTTCCGAAATATCAACCACATTAGACCTCCATTCTCCTGGTTTCTCTCCGAGGAATAAGGCTAATACTACCTTCTCATCCAAAAAAGCAAGGTTTAAAACCGCGATGTAATTGTAATTTGCCAAAAAAACGCTTTTTCCACAGTACAGTTTCCCATTCGATGTATAATCCTAATGTTGACCTTGACACGTTCTTAATGATCCTCAGCACCTTACAGACGCGGAAGATCCTTTTGGAAAACACCTCTGGTTGAATGAGCATGTATTCGTGCATCACTAACATGGTTTTCACGCACATTTGCACACATTCGAGAACACAGTTGTGATTAAACAGGAGCTATTTGGAGCCCTGAACATTACAAATGAAATATTCAGAAGAGACATACGTTCTATGAAACGAACTATGCAGCCTTTGCTGCCACATGGATGACAAGTCTGCGGGTGGCCGGCTAAATACCCTTCGCTCGGGTGGGGGTCAATTTGACCCCCTGAGATCTCAAGAAATAAGAGAGCTTGAAACACCAAATTCACAGAGTGTATTAACCTGTACGTGAACTCACTTGCATCTAAGTTTGAGGTTCCTAGATTATGATCTTCCGGCCAAATAAGGTCAAACAAAGTCAATTGCCAGTTTGGTCTCCAAAGTGCCCCAGAACCTAGATAATTTTTTCTAAGCACAAGGTCACATGCTCAGTTGAAGTCAGTGACCTTTTTTGACCTTTTGAAGGTCATGATGACCAAAATCCTACAAGATTGCCCTGACAGTTGTATTTGAATAAGCGACAAAGATTATGCTGAGCAGTATGTTCCAAAAAACAGTATGTTGACGTGGGTCATTTTAGGCCAATGACCTATTCCGACCTCTAAGAAGTCCATGAAAGATGTATAATACGGTTCCTGCTATCAATAAGTTTGAAATGGGCACCAAAAACTATCCTATACAGCACACCCTGGAGTAATAAAACAGGCTAGTTTTGACCTTGGTCTCACCTCTATACCTGACCTTAGATCAACGTAATTTGCTCATTCAATATTGGTGTTGCGTAAGAAAGCATCTCAGAGATGTATGGCTTTTTCTAACACTCCGTTGTTGCATCGGATTGTGCGATTCCCTAGAAAGAGTTTCCGCTGAAACCATGGCCTGAATTTGACTTGCCATAGACCAGCCACCTTACATGGTACATCTAAATTTTTGACGTCAAACGATTTGCTCTTTAATTTTCTACAGCTGCGTAAAATTTGGTGCGGCTGCGCCACACCGTTCGTAGATCATTTTGGAATAACCTTCGGGGGTGGGGGTCAATTTGACCTCCACTCGAGCGCGTGTTAACGATGCGACGACAAGTTAATCAACCCGGTCAATGAGACAACCAACCGGGTCTACATAATAATGCCAGTAAAACACGAAACAAATTGACGGTCCATAAAATCAGAATAGATGACGGGCATGGTACATTATCAGTGAGTGGGCCTTGTTCACTGGCTCGGTCTTCTAGTACCGCGCGATGGATGTAGATCTGCTGGCCTCGTCTATCAGCTGGTGGGCTGCAGCCTCATGCTTTCCCAGAATGCCCGCTTATGCTCAGATAGA